GAGGGGGAGGGAGAGGGAGAGGGAGAGGTAGGCAGGCAGACAGAAAGACACACAGACACACAGAGAGAGGCAGACAGACAGACAGGCAGACACACACAGAGGGCGAGGGAGAGAAGAGGCCAAGGTCAAGGACAGGGAGGCTTATACGCTTACCGGAAGGTATTTCCGTCGCCCCGGGAGTCGTAGCAGCCGGATTCCGCGTCCAGCTGGTCGCTGCAGATGTTGTTCTCGACAACGTTTCCGGAGGCACCCTCCTTGATGTCGACGCACTCGTTGCCGCTCGTCGAGATTCGGTTCCCGAAGACCAGGTTGTCGTTGCACGTGTCCTCCCCGTTCGTCCACTACGGGTGGGTTTGTTGGGACATGTTGTGGGGGCGGAGTATTCGGGGTTGGTTAGTCAAGGGTGCGGCATCATGCGGTTGTTGTTGTTGTTGTTGTTGTTGTTGTTGTTGTTATTGTTGTTGTTGTTGTTGTTGTTGTTGTTGCTGTTGTTGTTGTTGCTGTTGTTGTTGATGTTTTTGATGTGGTTGCTGTTGTTGTTGTTGTTGTTGTTGTTGTTGTTGTTGTTGTTGTTGTTGTTGTTGTTGTTGTTGTTGTTGTTGTTGTTGTTGTTGTTGTTATTGTTATTGTTGTTGTTGTTGTTGTTCATGATGTCTTCGAACAAACCGCTCAGTACCTTCTGATATCTATGCCGGTCCAATCTGACGCGTACGACTTCGGTCGTCACAAACCAATTGCCCACATGGAGTGCACATCGTATCGACATCTTTAAACTGTCTCCATGCCGTCCCAGTTGTCTGCCCACCCCACCACCCCCCCAGAGGTAAAAAAATTATTTCCATCTCTTGTGCTTCTCTTTTTTTTCAACGGAGGGTGCCGGATGCGCAGCGAAGCTTGGAAGTGGTGGTTGATTACCAGTCGTGTTGCCTCTCAACATCCGGCGCTGTTCCTCTAACCCTACTTGTTTTTTCTTATCTCAAGCTTCGAGCTGTGGTGGTCTATCGTTGTTCCGCTGGGTGGTGCTCTGCCTACTTCGTTGTGGTGCTTGCGAAGGCAACAAAGAATAGGCTTTCAGCCGGCAATAAGCCGGGCATTCGGCCCTATTTAGAGCAGAAGGGACTACTTGTAGCTGACCATTCTGTCTTTTGTCGCGGGCGTTTTCACCGGCCGACCACTTGGCGACGAGTGGCTCAACTCGTCTGGCCGTACAATTCAGAGCGCCCGCGTTTACGAAACGTCAACTTGGCATGGAGGCTTATTTTCTTGTTTCGACACCACCACCGTCGAGCGTACATCATGTAGCAGGTGATTCTGTAGTAGAGTCTGTCTGGTGTAGGAGGATCCACATCTGAGGCGTGTTTCAAACAGTCGGTATTTACCACGTGTTGACCAAACTCTGAGCCCTTCGTTTATTATTTGGATGATTCGTTTCGAAAGGTCGATTTGTATCAAGTGTCTGGCCAAAACTGACCCTTGTTTATATAATGTTTTGTTCTTGATTGGAGGCGCTATCTGACCCCGTACCTACCGCATTTCCAGCATCTGATCTTGTTTCACTTCCCCGTCTTGAATTCGTCTCTTTTTTATTAATGTCCAACGAGCTACCATTCCTACATTTTTCATCCTCAGTGCTGTACATATCACTATCACACGCTTGTCGTTTCTGCACCTACTGCTGTACCTGGGTGCTGGAAGTGCCGATGTAGACCCCTTCTCCGTTCTTGTCCCCCGAGTTGAACATGAAGTCGTGGACGCCACAGTTTGAGATGGTGTTTCCCGTGACCTGGGCGTTGACCACGGAGTCCTTCAGGCGCACGCACTCTCCCCTGTTTCAAGCAGAGGCGTGGTCGGGGGCGGGGTAGGGGGGGGCGGGGTCACACGGTCAGCGTCGGTGGTGGTGGTCGTGGTGGTTTCGGTCGATACTGGGAAGTCGCCGGCGGCGAGAGCTTCGCTTGTGTGTGAGACATGCACCGATTGACGGATGGAACTCGCAAAATATTTCGATTTTTTCGGAGCTTGGTTCTCGGAGGCAGAGCAGCTGTTGTCGTGAAAGTTTGGGCGGGCTAGTCATAACAAATACAGAACGCGCCACCACTTAAGAAATTGTTGAGTCTCAAAAAAAAATAGAACTTGAGCACCGCTTGTTGTGTGCTTGGTTAAGAAACCCCACACTAACACCTATATTGCGACCATTCGTAGCATGACCCTAGGAATACCGTGTCAACCCCAGCCTCGGCTCGGCCGAAACTAGAGGTCCCTAAGTGCGGGCGTGTCCTGTACGGTACAATTCAAGAATCAGTTGAAGAAAAATAAAGGTGCAATAGCAATTCGAACGGTAGTTCTACTGCTGTGCCACGCACCCGCAGTTCTGGACTATCATGTCCTCCATGACGAACCCGTCGAGGACGGCGGACGACTGAGACCCAGGCCCTTCCACGTACACGCATTTGTTCACCCAAGAAGCCTCGTCGGTGTCCGAAGTTCCGACCTTTCCCTCGACGGTGAATCCCTGTGATTTGTTGATGTCGACGCAGGTGTCGTTTCGTTGTTTGTGTTTATGTCTGTTTGTTTTGTTTTGTCTGTATACGGCAAGTGATGTGAACTATCATAACAACACTACACAGTATTAGCGGATTTAATGGACTGGTTTGATGTGTTTTCTGTGCCGCGTAAAATTCGCTTGGATTCTTACTTCGTGGGATGACGAAACAAAAATATACTAACTTTTGTAGCAATCGACACTACTGCTGTTGCTGTAGACGCGCGCGCACTGCTGCTAACACAAGACATTGCACAAGAAGAGTGACCAGGATGAAACACATGCAGCGAGCGGCCTGCAGCTCGACGAAAATGGAGTTTTCACTCGCCGCTGCCACGCAATCCAAAGCGTGAGGGGATCCGGGGAAGGGCGGGTATCTAGATACGATGGACTTGTAACGTTCTACGGGAAATCATTCATGTCGTTGGATAGACCTGAACAGCTGTAGACAACACTACAAAGTCTATGGTGCAATCTATGCTGTGGCCGTACTTGCAGGCCTATGCTGCAGCACCTTAGTTTGTGGCAGCTGCGCCGTGGTGCAGCAGTTTCCAGTCTCTCTGTGCTGCTTCATGCATGGAGCCACCGAAACGCAAAGATTGCCCATCGGCAAAAACGAACGGTCCGAAGACAACAACGTACACATCGTGTCTACAATACGGTGAGAAATTTCGTCATTCATGGATCTCAACCGATACACTTTCGACACAAAACGTGCGTGCGGTCGCCCAGGGTATTTCCAGTAGCCACACGATCCCCCGTGCGGCAGCACACACACGTAGTAAGGATGGTGCGTCCAACAATGTTTCATGTGCTCCTTTTTGCTCCACCAACTACGAGCAGCAGCAGTACCAACTGCTGTAGATAGCTTCAGGGCCTCATGCGACGATACTCATCATGCACAAAAGATCCAACCGTTCAGACAGTCACAGCCGTGTATCCCCACTACACACCTTGAGCGTGATGAAGCTGTGCGTGATGAGAACGGAGCGGCTGCTGTAGGATCCCTTGATGATAGCCCCCGGCCCGCCGGACACGGTGATCGGACTGCCGAACTCGCCGCCCCTGACCGACACCAGGGCGCTGTCGTAGGTGCCGTCTTGGAGGTTCACCGTATCGCCGGCCTGAGCCAAGTCCATGGCTTCGTAAAGATCGAACCCGTCGCCATCAGCGCTAGCGTCGAACGTGACAGCGCGCGCCGAAGGCGAATGAAGCAGCAGCAGCAGAAGAAGAAGTGCATTGCGTAGCAGCGGCGAGACGGGGAGGCTGCTGGAGTTGGTCTTCTTCTCGCTGTTGCAGCACGCCATGGGTGGTGCCGTTGTTATTCCAAAAAATATCTTGTACTTGAAGTACCCTCTCTCTGAACCGGAAGCAGCGCAGCAGGGGGAAGAAAGAACCCTCTCTGTGAAAAGGCAGCAGCGCAGCAGGGGAAGCTGCAGCAGAAACTCTGCACAGCAGCAGACAACAGGTGGCGTCTCGTGCGCTGGATGTAGTGGTAGCGGTGCACAAGACAATGCTGGTGAGACGGAGAGGGAGAGGGGGAAGAGAGAGTGTGTGGTGGTGGTGCGCAACGGTGTTGCGTTTGTGGAACGGACGACGTTGTTGCCGGCGGCGGCGGGACTGTCAGGTTTAGTTCCGAAATCTTTCGCGAATGCGAAAACCGGTGGAGAACCACAAATCCCAAACTGAGCCGATATTTCCCGAATCGTTGTATTTTTCCGGTTAACATCAACGGTTGGGTGATGATGGTTGATGACGACACCGATTTGGGTAGGATATCTGTCCGCTGGTGTGAGCGTCAGCAGAGTAAAGCACGTGATTCCACCCGTCGGGCTGACAACGTACTCTTCCAGTGGGAGCCGATCTTACCCGAATCGTCGTATTTTCCGATTGGCATCGACGGTTGGTTGTTGTTGTTGTTGTTGACTTCACATTAAACCGTATGCCAGTTGCTAAATGCCAAAATCTAGCAAAGACTCTCAGCCCGTGGTCACGAAAGTGCTAGAGCCATCTGAGGATCTANAGTAAAGCACGTGATTCCACCCGTCGGGCTGACAACGTACTCTTCCAGTGGGAGCCGATCTTACCCGAATCGTCGTATTTTCCGATTGGCATCGACGGTTGGTTGTTGTTGTTGTTGTTGACTTCACATTAAACCGTATGCCAGTTGCTAAATGCCAAAATCTAGCAAAGACTCTCAGCCCGTGGTCACGAAAGTGCTAGAGCCATCTGAGGGTGGTTGATGACGACACCGATTAGACTATGATTTCTGTCTGCTGGTGTGAGCGGCAGTAGAGTAAAACACGTGATTCCACCCGCCGGGCTGACAACGTGTTCTACCAGTGGGTGTGTGTATACTACTCTAGTAGTCTAGATCTTGTTTACGTAGCGTTCTTTGACTGAGCTTCGGTGTACCGTGTGACGTGGAGACCGTTACTTTTCGTTTCTGGTGACTCGGCGACAGGCAACTTTTTGGAAGAATCAAACTACGTGCGCACGCGCGCACGCACACGCATCCACAACCCTCGGCTTCTTTCTTTCGCGCGACTGTAACAACGCTGGTGCCTGACGGCGGGGTTCCTCTCAAACTCGTCGATGATGAACATGCTGGGGGCGCCATCTTGTATATACCAACAACCCCTCGTGCGGAGATGCTGCTGTAGTCTACACAGCAGCACCAGCCATAGATAGCCTCCTTTTGCTTCCATGCGGAAAAAATCCTACCCTTCCGGGTTGAGCGGGCCCAGAACACCACACAACAAGCAATACAGCAATGAATAAGTAGCAGCAGCAGCGGAGGAACAAAAAATAACGGTTCTTCACCAAAATATCCGCTCAATTATTGAAATTGTGAGGTGGCTGTTTGCAGCTGGTGCAGGACAATGTGCGTCACACCACACACCATCGCACTTTCCATGCTCTCGCCGGCCATGATCAACATGATACCGTTTGCTTCGGAGCGGCCGTGCGGTTTCGTTGGACTTGTCCTCGACTGCAGTCTGTACGAAAATATTTGGAATGTTGGCTGTGCAGTGCCGCGAGTGAGTACAGATGGCGCTCCCACTTAAACCATTAAAGAACTATAAGAACACGTGCTCAGTTCCGACGTGATTTTAAGAACAAGAACCCGCCTTGGTGATGCAACGAGCTGGGTGCAACAATGTGCTTATAGATAAGAACAGAACCCCAAAACGTGGCAGCTGCAAGAAAATAACTTTCGAAGGGGTGAGCAGCTGGGTGAGGCAGGGGCTATGCTCGCGGGTGACCGGTGGCCCCACCGGCAGTTTCACATCACATGATCAGCGGGAAGGGGTGCCCCTTTCACATAATAGGGGTGTATAGCTTTGTTCAACACTGCGCCCCCCTCGTCGCGTAAGCTAGACACTGTGTGCGGTGCGAACCCACGCTGCGTGCTTGCCGTCTGGATGCACGGGAACCATGTCTTTACCCCTTGAGATATTGAAGGAGCTCAATCAACTGGCGTCGAAGATTAGTCAAAGAGGTGCATTCTTGACCGACACTTCGAGGCCATCAAAGAACATGTCATTGCTGGCAACTGCCTCAAGAGGGCAGACTGGGAGGCCGTGGAGGCGACGTGGGGCTGAAAACCAGTGGCGTCTTCGGGCCGGAAGAGTGGACCAACCAGATTGATGGGCAAATCCGGGGAATAATCAGCAGAGCTCGTCCATCGTTGTCGTCACAGCAACATGCTGGCGCACGAGGTGCACCGTCTACATCACAGAAACGGCCACCACCTCCAGCAGCAGCAGCGGCAGTGGGCCGCCGGACTGCTGTGGATCAGGGGAAGGAAAGCAAAAAGAGAGCCGCCCAAGGCACCTTGGGCGGCAACATGATGAACGCATTCGCTATCGGCAGCGGGACGCCGGTGAGTTGTCCTTCTGACAAAGTACGAACTCTGTACATCTGTACATGCGGAGTGGTACAGCAGTACAACGCGAGATTTTGGAAAATGAAAACAATGTCTTGGTTTTAGAAAATACTTCAGTACAGTACACGAGCATGTTTCATGTGTATAGGTTAGACTAGACTAAATAGTATGGGGTTTTGGTTGGTATTTCCATTTATTTTTGTTTTTTTTGCTATTTACTTGGATTTGTATGAAGTAACTAATTTTTTGCTTTTGGCAGACGATATCTTGTTTTTAGAAAATACAGTACACGTACCATTATCTTGTCTCACCCCTCTCAATGCTCTGGTGATTGCTGCAGGTTTCTTTCGTTTCATCTCTGCAACCCGTTCGCCCACGATTTAGAGTACAGGGCAGCAACCTTATGATTGCATATGTACGGTGTTCTGTAGTGTAGCGCACCCCAGAGCCTTGTTCGTACCAACAACAACAATGCCAATGCTGGTTTTCTCCCCACGTCTGATTTTGTACTCATGTATAAGGGCCCTACACCACGTCCGAATGCTAGCAGTCTTCTTGCTCTTTTCAAGGTCGACCGCGCCACACCAACAGCACTTTGATGACGTACGCCACTAACAACTCTCGTTGAAAAAGAAGACCTATCTGAACGACAATTCCGCTCTCCTTTCACCGTGCCGAACAGATTGTGCGGACTCGCGGTGGTGTCGAAGAGCTTGTATTCAGTGTCAACTTCCCATCGCCGGCCCCGGAACCCCGCGTACCTTGCCAACACTGCTACATGACCTTCGTGAATCTGCAAGGCCTCGGTATCCACGTGAATACATGCGCAGGTGCAAACATGTTACACGGCGTGCGGCTGCAGCGAATGTTGGGAAATAACACGAAAGGGGATGTCCTGCCCTGGGAACGCGCCGGGCCTGGGCGTTGTTGGCACGTGAAGATCGATGGAACCACGGGGGCGGCTTCGTTCGTCCTCCAGCGGAAGCACCTCCCCCACATCAACTTGGAAAGCCACGGCTTCACCGCCGTCAAATCCAAGGAGACTCGTGGCGCTGCTAAGCGCACGCGGTACGACTCTAGGTTCAAAGCCCATGTGGTCAACCAACTGCGAATCCTCCAGGAAGACCCCAAAGCCCTATTCGAGGACGAACATCTCGCCCCCCAGCAGTACCTGGAAACGTACATGAAAATCGACCACAGCCTTATCAGGAAGTAGGCCAAGGACGAGGACAAGATCGTAAAGTGTGCGGCACGAGACGTGACGAAGACGCTACTCGCGAGACAGCAGCCAAAACCGTGGTTTCCTCAGGCAGAGAAGGAAGCTTTACAAACGTTTCTTGGGTCATCGCAAGAGGAAGGTGTCGACCCTTCGGCTCACCATCACGTACCGCAAGCTGCTGCAGGAGATGTACCCTACCGACGACCGGGCGGCAGCGTTTCGCCCGTCCTTCAGGTGGATGCAAAAGTGGGTCAAGAGGCACAGTGTTTCACACCGGCGCCGGAGCAACTTCAAGACCAAGTCTGTCGAGGAACGATGGCCGGAGATCCGGCGGTTCCACAGGAAATATCGCAAGCTGCTCAAGGAGCCGGTGCGACGCAGGGGGTTCGTCTTCCATGAGGACAAGGTTGATAGTGGTGAGTGCTGCATGTGGTACGGTATGGAACAAACTAAGGCGTGCCAGGAAGAAGCTTTTCTCTGCAAAGGTTTCCTCACCTGGTCGTACTCGTTCATGATGGTGAAAGTTCCTTTGACAGGCCGTGCGCGGGTCCCATCTGCGCCGGCCGACAACCGGATGACCTTCGCGTACTTGAAGGAAGCATCTCCTGCTAGTAAACATCTACGAGCTGAGCTCGACGCTGCAGATGCTCTTCACGCGTCCACGAGCACCCGTCGGCCTGATTATTTCATATTCCAGAGGAAACCAAACAACAAATGGAGCACATCGGGTGAAGGTCGTGTGTTGCACAAATGCTTAGCAAGGAAAACACATGTTTTGGTATATTCTTTCAAGCAGCTAGAGTACGACGTCGTGTTGCAAGAAAGCCCACACGCCTGTGTGTCCTACTCATACAACCGGGGTTTCGTAGAACCACTTGTGCCAGATATCTCCCAGGTAGTGAGCCGAAGGGGGGCTGCTGTTGAAACCCGACGGATCTCCATTGCTGGAGAACTTTGGGATCATGCCGGGGTCAACATGGGGCCCAAACATATACGCCGAGCAACACAGCGATTGACTAGCGACACGTAGGACCGGACTTGATTGAAGTACCTCGAATGATACTTCTTTGCAAGCGATTTTGAAGCAGCCCCAAATCCTTCCCCTCAAGGAGGTCGTCTGCTAAGCGGTCAACTACGCTCTTACTAATCGCCGCTTTTTTGGTCAAAACGAACGGAAATTCTTTCGACACATAGTCATCCATCTTGGCCAAGACTCCAGCATCCCAAGCGTTGAATGTCTGGGTTGTGCGTTCATCTTCCGGCCTGCCTTTGTTTGCCTCGGTGCACCTCTTGCAGAGGTACCTGCGAACAGGCAAGCAGCACAAGCCAGGTATAGAAGCACAACAACAGAAGAATTCGGTGCAGCATAATATAACGCACGTGCTGTAAACAATAACGCTTACCATGAGGATTGTCATTGGTTTTATTTCAAATTGAAGAGGAGATATTTTTACGATGTAAGTGACAGTAGAAATAAGTCGTACATATCTTGTTGTACTTCGTATTGCTTCAATATTCTGAGGTACATCTGCAATTGTCGGAAGGCAAAAAAATATATATATAGCGCAAGAGACAGGGAGAGATCAAATCGGCAAATCACGTAGATGTCCAGACTACAACAGTTCACCATTGGCGCACCTGTATCTTATCAGGTAGCAAACGTCGTCGTCCAGAAACACTCGGCGTGGCTCAGTATTCCACCCGTCCGGCTGGGCACGCTCATCACAGTGCGGGCAGGGGATGTACTCGATATCATCCCAAATGTACTCAGGCACCCACACGAAAACCTTCTTAAGGCAATATGCCCCAACCGGTAGTAGGCCTGCAAAAGAGTCATGGGAACAACAAGTTGCTGCAGCTTCAAAAATGTGCTGCTGCAACTTTGAAACGTGGTAGCTTATTTCCTTGTCGGTACTGTAGGACCAAGATGACATGCACCTACTGCTGTGTCAGTTGCCACAACAGCATTACAGTAGTACCGCCAAACTTAGTTGGAAAGACCTGATGTTTATTGCTTTCGGTAGGGTTGCATCTATTGAAAGTGTGTGACGGCAATTTCCGGGCTACTTGGGCAGTAAATCGTAAACCCATTTATTGCGGCTAATACCTTATAAACAATGATTCAAAGAGTTTGGTGTTGTTTTTTTTTTATTTTCTTCGTGCATGTCTACGTGTTGTTTGGCCGTGGTTGTTTGCACATTTTTCGAATATGCCGCATTAGTTTTTTGACCAAATCAAATGTTTATCCCGACAAAATGAAGATGCAAAGCAAACCCTGTGGCGCTTATCCTCACCTCGACGAGCAAAGCCAACTCTACTGTTTACGTGCACCAAGACATCTGTGTAGTACGTGCACCAAAACAACTGTGTAAGTGCGCCAAATCAGCGTGTTTTTTGCTAACCATTCGCGCTTCGCGCGAAATAGAAATTATTTTTTGTTGTACCCCCATGTATGGGATCTGAGCCGAGATCTCTACGCTCCATACCTGGGTGTTGGCGGGGGGTTGTGCACCCTCGCCTTCGAGAAGTCATCATGAGCGCTGGAACCCAAGGCGGTGAGTTAACCCTTGTAAGTGAGTCGTGCTGACGGATCGTTGTACAGCAGAACTACTGAAGTTGCCTCCGGTGTTGCTCCGCTGTCTACCCCTGAACGTCCGCTCGTGGCAAGTCGCCACGTGTGTGCTGTGCTTGCTGTAAACACAGGCTCTACAACAGAGAGCCGGCAGGGCTCAAATTTGGGCCCCCGGGGGGATAGAGAGTACAGAGGTACCTTTTCGAAGTCGGGGCGTTCAAGCTCCATCACATTTACCAGTAATTGGTAGGTTCTTTTTCGGCGTGAAAAAAAATCCGCCGCAGAAAAAAACGGTTGTATATTAGAAAGACTGTTTGTATACTTCTGTAGACGCCACAGCTATCTCCACCTGTAGCCCATGCGGGCAGCCCGCGACAGTGGTGGCCATGGACAGAGTCATAGAAGGGCTGATGCGTGGTCACGCTTGCGGCCGGTGGGGCAGGTAGCCTTGTAGACCTTGAAATGATCAGTCGTGTAGCCGCTTCACTATTTTTAGCATATACCGATAATGATCGATCATGTGATCTTTTGACGGGCCTCATATATTTCGCTTTCACCCGCAAATTTCGTAAAATTTTCAACCCATGGGGATTCGAACTCACGACCTCTGCTACTAGCGGATTACGAGGATACCACTAGACCACCGGGGCGACCGGTTGGGCTATAGGGGGTGGGGGGTGGGGGGGCAGGTTTGGTTTAAGAAAGGTTTAGGAGAGGTGTAAGAGATTCGGGGTTCGGCTTAAGAGAGGGGTGTGTCTAGCAATTTTGACCTCTCTTAAATCGGCAATTATCTTGTACTGAGCTCTCTTTAACGGTAGCCCCCACTGTAATTAGATAGGTCTTTTGTTTTTTGCATCGTTTTCGGCGTACTCTCACGGGACTGTCCAAACAGCCTTCTGGCGATCTGGAGATTCAACACTACACACACGCCCACAGCAGCACCCCAAGCTGGGGCACTCAGAGCTCCAAGTGATATCTCCGATAAAATGCCTTCCCCTGCTCTGATCACCATGTCTGTTGCTGGAGGTGCTCTTGAGACAGTAAGCAGAAAAAAACTGTAAGAAAATTAGACACGCGCTGCGCGCAAAAACGTCAAATTGGCCAATGACAACACGAGGCGCGTCGCGCAGCGGTTTGGCTTTTCGCGCAGCAGATGACATATATTCGTTCCTCACCCCACGGGATGTCTTCTCACCACCTTGAACCACTCCCTGATGCATCACTGCATCATTTTGGCACCTAGGGATAGCATTGTTAGCCAGCACTTTACGAATGTGCCCTATATTTCCGAAACTCCAAATGATCCTCTAGAAATTCCGTGTGGGATGATTCGATCGAGTGATAAAAGCGTCGCACGCGACTGAGCTGTGTTGGAAAAAAGACACTCCTGCTCTTTCATCTACTTGAAGTTCGAGTTGTACTCTTTGAATGGTCCCTCCACAAATGAAGCAACAGTTCGTGTCACCAGCGATGCTTTGTCTCTGGAAAGAAGCATCCCACAACCACCTCACTTGCATCCGCGGGAGAAGAGTTAGTGCAGGTGGCAGCATCAAGGGTTTGGCCTTGATGCGTCAAGTGAACGGAGGCGATCCCTCTAAACGCGGGGATGCGCTCTCTGTTGATGACGCACGTGGAACAACCCAGGGCACGCCTGTTTTTTCTCCTAAGCCTTGAGTTTGTTCATCCGCTGCCAGCACCCCGTGGCGTGGACACAGTGAAGCCAGGGCGCGTTAGGGACCCTTACGAATGTGCCACGTGAAGATTTCGTAGCGTTGTAGACGATAACGTCGACTGACCTTCGTGTCTCACCGCGCCCACCAAGGTTTGTCAGGAAAGCCAGGGACCGGTGGTCTAAAGTAGCGCCCCACGTCCAACTGCTCTCAAAGAGTCACTCCCGGAGAATTTTGCTCCCTTTCGGTGCCAGATCCACTTCGTCGGAATCAATGCCGAAGCATCAGGTCCGATACAATCGATCTTCAGAAGCTCTGATCTTGCCGGATCGTTGCTATGACACAATCGCGCGTTTCCGCGGAGATCTTGAAGTGATTCATACATTCGTCTTGCTTCGGTTGGTGAGGGGCTCGGGTCATTCCAACCCGGGGATGGTTCGCCAAGTCGTAATGAAACAAAGCTAGAATAAAGGTATTCCGAGACGCATTCCGAGACGTGACGCTCAACCCTTGGTTATTCAGAATTTAGACAGTCCACACCATATTAAAAAGCTGAACGGATTCTTGCTTAAACAAAAATTGAGGATTAAATCTCGACTCGAGATCAAGAAAAGATTTTTTCAGGTTGCATCGACCAACTCACTATAATGCGAGGCGCATGCAGTGCTCGGCGAACACCTCCTTGGTGATGATCGATCGCAGTTTGATCCGCCCGATGTTTGGTGATTTCATCGATCGCGCACGGATGTTCAGCATACATTCATGGCCGCCTTACAATATGCTCACTTTTGTTCCCCGTCACTCATGGGGCTTTTCTACCCATGAAACAGCTAAGAGTAGCAACAACACACACGGGGGGAGGCTCCTGACGAAAATTCAGCGCCGGCGCCCCCCGAAATAGATGGAATTTTGTTCAAATCGAGAAAATATCAACATCCATATCTGTAGTCAATCGGCGACGTGCAATTATATGGTTATGACATCCACTTCCCTTCGATGGTAAGAGTCCAACGTCGTTCATTCTGCCTCCGGAGTGATCGCCTACATCGTGAAAATGATTTCGTGACGGAGCGAGGGCAGGCAAAGTGTCTGTTTTCTCCATTGGTATTGTGCTAAACCTAACAGACACAGCCAGCACCTTCGGTCGAAAGCCATACATTGCTTGATTGATATGAACGAACCTAATGCCATGGAGGCAAGGAGAGGCAGGAGGTAAGGAGGTACAGGTTAGGATCGCCGAGTTCGTGCTTGGTCATTGTCTCCATTTCGTCGCTCACACACCCATATCTTGTTCGAGAGTTATTGATTGCACCCGTGTTACAATTGCATAGTCTACTCCGTTGAAATTCACGAGGGCAAGGCGGGTCGATAGCGCCGGTAACAGCCAAGTTGGTAGCTGTTGTCGTGCAAACACCAACTCACCGAAAACGTATACTGGGGTGATAAAAAATCTGCAACAAGGTGTCGCGGCTTGCTCGCCACCTTGCCTACGCTTTCCGTTGGCGCTGCATCTTTGCTTGTCCAGGCGAATTGTTTGACGCATTGGTTGCCGCCTTGACCCCGGAGACGCCGAGATTTCGACCCCTGCGAGCTTCAAGACGCCCCCAAATATATGCGTCTCTGATCAATATGATATGCGTCGTCAGGACGGTGTCGACTGTGTCCCAACGGCGTTTTGGCTGCCAATGTCAAACAACCAACACAGCAGTTCTCCACAGCCTTGGAGCTCATCGTGCTTGACGATGAGCAGCCCGTCCCACAAGTCAACAAAAGTTAGGGCTGTCAGCGACTTTATGGTGCTGTCGCTCCCACGCTTCGCGGGCTCCTCCTTCGCTCATTCCAACGCCTACTGTCACTAACACATGCCCTGCCTTGCACCGCAGTTTCTTCTTTATTCATGAATATAGCCGCCTCTCTACATGTGCCAACTTCTTTTTTTTCTGCCAGGAGACCACAGCCGGTGCCTCGATGCGTTCATGGCTGCATTAGACTACGCCTACGCACGGGCGACCAGCGTCGTTGGTACACCTCAACGTTGGAACTGCAGCTGGCGCTACTAGACGTCTGCCGCGCATGCCGGAACGAGCCCGTATTTCGCGTTTTGGTGGAAGAGGGGACCCCGCGTAGCCTTTTGGTGGCATTGGCAAAAGAAGAGCAACAAGAACCTCCCGTGCCCAGCCACCAAGATCACGGAGCGAATCGTGTGCCGCCGTTGCGGGCGAATCGAGTGGCAATGGGGATGCGTCCCCAGAGCCTCCATGATATGCGCACATGGAGAGAAGTGGGGGAGGTGCATCTTATTCATTTCCCTGGACATGAAGTGGGCCTCTTGGTGTTGCCTCCAAACTTGAAACAGCTTTGTATCCTAAATTGTTATTGGCGGCCAATTCCCGATTGTCTGTGGCGGGCGGCTTCCCTTCGACGGCTGGAGCTTGTCTACTTGGAAAAATCCTATCGTTGCTGTGGAGTGGCCGCAGTCGCTTTCGTTTGGAGATTCCTTCGATCAGGCCGTTGCTGGAGTGATGTGGCCGGCCTTTATGCTGAAGTTTGACCTTGGGAACCTGTTCAGTAACCCTATTGCCGGCGTCGTGTGGCCAGCGTCCCTGCGACAGCTTCCGTTTGGAGACTGTCCCTTTTCGGAGTGGTGTGGCCAGCCGCCCTGCTGAAGTTGGACCTCGGACGTTGGTTCAATCAATCTGTTGCCGGAGCGGTGTGGCCAGCATCGCTGTAACAGCACTCGTTGGGATATTCATACAATCAGCCCATGGCCGGAGTGGTGTGGCCAGCCGCCCTACTAAAGTTGGAGTTCGGAACCATGTTCAACAAACCTATTGCCGTAGTGTGGTGGCCAGCACCCCTGCAACAGCTTTCGTTCGGAGATTCCTTCAATCAGTCCATTGCTGGAGTGATGTGGCCGGCCTCTCTGCTGAAGTTGGACCTTGGGAACCTGTTCACCAAACCTATTGCCGAAGTGGTGTGGCCAGCGTCCCTGCAACAGCTTTCACTAGGGTATTCCTTCAATCAGCCCATTGTCGGAGTGGTTTGGCCAGCCGCCCTGCTGAAGTTGGACCTCGGAACCATGTTGAATGAACCTATTGCCGGAGTCGTGTGGTCAGCGTCCCTGCAACAAGTTTTGTTTGGAAATGACCTCAAAAGGTCCATTGTCGGGCTGGTGTGGCCGGCCTCCCTGCTGAAGTTGGACCTCGGGCGCCGGTTCAATCAACCTGTTGCCGGTGTGGTGTGGCCAGCATCGCTGCTACAGCTCTCGTTGGGACTTTCCTTCAATCAGCCCTTTGTCGGAGCGGTGTGGGCGTCGTCTCGGCAGAAGCTCTCGTTCGGATACTATTACAACCAGGACGTTGTTGGAGTGGTTTGGCCAACGACTCTGCGATAGCTTTGGTTCGGATATTGCTTCAATCAACCCATTCTCGGAGTGATGTGGCCGGCCTTTCTGCTTAAGTTGGACCTCGGGCGCGAATTCAACCAACCTGTTGCCGAAGTCATGTGGCCAACGTCGCTGCAACAGCTGTCCTTCGGATATTACTTCGATCAGCCCATTTTCGGAGTGGTGCGGCCTGCGTCGCTGCAACAGCTTTCCTTTGGATACTATTTCAATCAGCCAATTGCTGAAGTGGTGTGGCCGACCTCCCTGCTGAAGTTGGACCTCGGGAGCATGTTCAACAATCCTATTGACGGGGTGGTATGGCCAAAGTCTCTGCAGCAGCTTGGGGAGCGTTCAACCACCACACCGCCGGAGTAGTATTGCCGGCTTCCCTGCGATACCTGGAGCTTGGCGAACGCTTCAACCAACGCATAGCCGGAGTCTGCGAATGGCCGCCGCGCCTTCGGCATTTGCTTCATGAGATAAGTTTTGACTTCTCTTCGTCAGCACGAAGTTGGGCAGCTTTCCTCGTTCTCGTGAAGCGCGGGCAAGTTGTGGACTCTTCTTGGCGTGAATAGCATCTGCACACCGTTTGAAAAGATCCCTGGTCGGGTACATATCACGCTGGCAGGACTGAAGGACGCGTGGTCGGAATTCTAGCAGAAAAAAGGCTACTTTAGTGCTTTGGCTCGTTAGGCCGCAGCGTTTCTGATTCTAGCGGCGGGCCGCAAATGTTGTGCATGTAGACTAGGGATAAACCTTTTGCAACATTTTACCGTTCCCTGTTGAATTCCCTTTTGGTCCTGAGTGAAGTTGGGTAATACTTCCTCTGTATCATAAGTCTAGTGTGTTAGGTTTATACGTCGCCTTAACGGTGTCCGATCTGTTTTTCGTTTTTTATGTTGAATTCTACGGCGTTTTTTTAGCAAGAAAACATTTTTTTTTTTTTGAAAGCTGGTGCTTGAACCATGCGACTAAACGGCCGGAAAACTTTGAGTCGGCCCAAAAACGGCCATATTTTGCCTTTTTCCGGGGGGGTGGGGTACGTGGGGCATTGAGCCTAACCCCCCCCCAAAAAACCCAAGAAAACTATCCCCAACCCTAAAGCGAACCCCGCCTAGACTCAGCCATCCACAATACGTCCCCCATACTAAAACCATATTGATAGTGACCCACACACTAAGTTCAAGACATTTGGGGGTCCACACTAAAATCAAGAGACTTGGGGATCCCACACTAAAACCAAGATACTTGCGGGGCAAAGAAACAACAGAGTAGGGCCCGAATCCCCCCCCCTCTACTCAGCGACCCACATCGCGCCCCCCTATACTCAAAGCAGTATAATAGTGGCCCCACACTAAAACGAAGACACTTGGGGGTTCCACACTCAAACGAAGACACTTGGGGGGCCCACACTCAAACCAAGACACTTGCGAGCAGAAAAAGTGTCTGTTGGTGTCGGTGGGCCCAGCGCACCCTTGGGTATCCGTACTTGGCCCGGCGGAATAGCCAGCGCAGCCTCCACTACAATTGCAATGCGGCGGCCCACTGAAAGCTCGCCGCCCTTGGGGCGATGTGGGGGGGTACTTGGGGGCGTATCCATCGTTTGCATTGTGTTTGGGGGGTGGTAATCACGACTGATCCCACGAATTCTACAAATATTCTCAAAAAATAACTCAAAAACGTTCTCAAAAAATATCTCAAAACAGGCCAAAATGGGCATATTTTGACCTAATTTTAGTGTATAACACGGTCTTCGTTTTTTTCGTTTTTTTAGTCAGCTTTGCATATGTCTTGCCTTTCTAACGCATCCATCCAAAGGCTAAACGTCAACGTGTAAGTATCTTTACTACACGCACATAACAGACCAGACTTATGATACAGAGGAAGTATAACATGATTTGGCAGCTGCTTTGATGTTTCAAGGTAACCTCATGAAGCTGGCAAACGCTGTCATGTATTGGGTCAAGGGAAACTCATGACTCCGTGCAACAGACCGCGGGAGTATCGCGCCTGATCGACACCAGAGGTTGGTGAACACTTCAACCAACTCATAACCGGACTTAAGGCAGGCCGCCGCGCCTTCAGGATTGTCTAGTTTACTGCCTGGGAGAAAAAATGTATAGACTTAGACTCGAAATAAGTCAGTCCAGTACCCAGCCGGTTTTCCTCCACTCACTGAAAAGGCTCCACCACATCCCGTTCGAATGTGGGTATATCTCGACCGGGTAGTCTTTCTGTGAGCAATGCCACGGTAGGGGGGATACTTTTTATTACATAGGTCACATGCTGTCGCCCGACAAGGTCCATATAAATGCTCGTAACTCTCTCAATTTTTGCATTTCAAGGAAATCAATTCTGGCCAGGCAGACGCCTGGCGTATATCTCGCGGTTTGCAGAACAATAAGCATTTTTTCCGTTGGTTGATGCAGTACACACCAGTCCGCCGAAACACTCCATGTGACCGAGGGGGTACCCCCCATCGTAGCATCCCTCCTGTGTGTGTATTTTTTTTTCCTAAAAAGTGTCCACCCGTTGCCGGAAGTACGGTAGATCAGCCACCTTCATCCCTCGTTCGCGTGAAGCACGAGGAAGCCACTTGGTGTGATATAGCATCTCAACTGCGTCTAGGATGATCCCAGGTCGACATAGTAGTGCACCCACCGCAGAAAGGAGGCGTGATCGGAAGTTTAGGATGACCGAGGATATTCTTGTTTTGTAGTGCACACCTCAAGGTTTTCCGATTTTGACAGCTGACTCCGAATTTGTGTGTGTTCGTCTCGTCAATCCTGGCGCCGGTGTACAGGTCTTTCAGCGTATGTACCTGACGTATCACCCGGGGTCAACCAAGAGCTGTTTTTCTTATTGTTTTTCATTTGTTTTGTTAGCCTACCTCGCCCCCTGCGGTGCTTACATTAGTTTATTAATATCGCGAGAATGGTTCAGCCATCCCCTTCCGTCGTCGACCGTGCAGCCGAAGTTTGCTTAGTCACGAGTTAGATCGCTTTCAACCGCACTCAAGTGGGGGGAGATACAGTCGAGGGACCCTTTTAGTGCCGGTACGTGCACAGAGCGTTCACCGGCACTAAATCGGGCACCCGGCACTACTAGAGAAAGCCCGGAAGACCAAGATGCCCGTCACGCGCGACGTCCTTCGAAGCTTCGGCCGTGCCGCCAGGGCAACCCTGTTGGCTGATCCAGCAGCTTCTAAGGAAGTGAAGGCGAGGGTCGAGGATTTCAAGGCCGGCGAAAGGTGGGCCAGGAACTTCGTGAAGCGCAACAGCATCGACAGCGTGAGACTTCATGGCGAGGCTGGTAGCGTCAACAAGGAGGCCATCAAGGAAGCCATGGAGGAACTCAAGGCCCTTTGCGCAAAGTACCCGGCTAGGCTCATCTTTAACGTCGACGAGACAGGCCTCCAGTGGAAGCTCATGCCCAGGCGCACGTACCTCTCCAACTTG